AAACTGGGACCAAGCTTAAAAGGCCTAATCTACGGTATAAACAGACTGCCAAATACAGCCAGAAATGCACAATTTGGAGAGGATGATATTGATGAAGATCTTCTAAAGATCAAGTCTCTGTATTTGTAAAAATGTTTTTCTAAAAGGGTAAAAAGAAAGCCTACTGACTGGGGAAAAACATTTGGCAATATTATCTCAGACAAGGGTCTCATTATTAACAGTTTACAGACTCCTACAAGGACTCCAGAAGAAAAAGATTGGTAATCCAATTACAAAATGTGCATAAGACATGGAAAAAATTTTCACAGAGCAGGACATTCAGGTGGCCAACAGACACATGAAGAAATTCTCTAAATCACTGGCAATAAGAGAGACGCAAAATAAAAGCATAATAAAATAACATCTCACCCCCATAGCTGTGGCAAAGTTTAGCGGGGCAGCAAGTAACAAAAGTTTGAGAGGATATGGCAAGGTAAGAATTCATACGTTGTCGGTGGGATTTATAAATGATAAAACCACTCTGGAAGGCAGTTTGGCATTTCCTCAAAAAGCTGAACATAGAAATGCCATATGGTCTAGCTATTCCACTGCTTGAACTAAACCCTGAGAAAATGAGAACTGAGGCACAGAGACTTGTACACCAATGTTCATAGCAGCATTATTCACCATAACAAGAACATGGAAACAATCCAAATATCAAACTGCAATGGAATGGGTTGAAAAATTATGATACATTCACACAATGGAATACTATGCAGCATGCAGAGTAATGATTTTGTAAATTACTACCTAACATAAGAGGGACTGGAGTGCATTATGCTAAATGAACTAACTCAGTCTCATAAGGACAAATACTGTATAAAAGACCATTATTGTAGAATGAATCAAGGATCAAAGGGGGGAACAGGGGTCTTAAACATAGGTCTCATAATTTGATGGGTGGAGGGAGGGGTGGGTAAAGAAAGAGGAAAGATTTGGTGTGAAGAATAATGTATACTAATTTTATGAACTTTGTATGTAAGCCAGTATCAAATTAAATAAATAAAGACTCTGAAACTAATTCCTACATCTAAATTAGAAGCCTCAATGATTACATGTGTTCTTAAAGTCATCACTGATAGCTGTAGTGTCCATTACTTTGTACCTATTTATTCACATAACAAATTCTCTGGGGGAATCCACACACCACAATTAAACTCAGCCCACAAAAAGCCCCAGAGGTCAAGAGAGCAGAACTCAAACCTACAAGTAGCTAAGAGGACTTCCACAAGCAAGAGAGTCTTTGTAATATGAGTCAGAGCATTTCTGCTTTTTAAAATAGAAAAGCGGGGAAAGCAGGATTATGCCATTGTTTAGGAAAAAGACAGAGGTTTAAAGGCAGAGGAAGGAAGTATGTTACTTATCTAGAACAATATATTAATCCATCATTCTTTTCTTTCATGATCAATCCAGAAGTTAAAGGGAGAAACATAAGGAAACTAGCCTATTCCTGAGAAATAACTTTGAGTTAGTGAATAGTTATAATTCAGAAGAAAGACCAACTTATGGAGAAACCAGAAATAAAAAAGGAGCTTCTGGATATGGAGGTGAGCTTCAGGAAGCTAATTGGTCATCACTTGGCCATTTCAATCTGACCTGGGTTATAATTTTCTGATAGTTTTAAATACATCATGGATTAAGAAGCCATAAAGTCTGACTGGGAATGTCTGGATGGGTACTCTGCTATTATTATCCACAAAGTTGTTGATGTCAATTTACAGAACAAAGAAAGGCCATGGAAAACCTGGTGATCTACTTCCAAAAGACCACAGCCGTTGAAAGACCTGTAGGGTCTCTATGATTTAGAATTAGCTTGATGAAAACGAAATTTACGGATTCCCTAGAGTTTATCTAATGCCTCCGTCTGGCTTTTGGCTTTAGATTCATCAAGTTTGATCTCTTGCCCAAAGATAGTTTTGCAGGAAACAAAGCATCACCAGTAGAGAAAGGGGGGTGCAATCTATTTCCAGATCCCTCTATTCATCCTATGCTTTTACAACTATGCTCCCCCCATCTCACATCCAAAACCCCTGGAGCACACAACTTCAATTAACTTAAATTCCCACTAATTCTTTGTATTCTGCTTTACCGAGGCAACCATTGCACTATCCGTTTATCTACGTTTGACAAACTTTTCTCAGTAAATTTTTCTCAGCAAACTTATCTGTTCTTCATTAAGTACCCCTGAATTGACTTATGACCAGGTGGTGGAACACAAATAAAATCCCCATCTTCTACCTCATGTCCCAAATAAGGGTTAGGAACATGGTCTTCAGAGTGAGTCACCTTGAAGCTCTTGTCTTGATTCCCAGTCACTTTCTAAAGTTCTGTTTCCTTATATGGAAAGTGACAATACCAGAACCTATTTTATTATTCTTGAGAGGATTTAGTGAGATACTTATACTGCCATAAATAGCATTAATTTTTCATATAGCTCTATTGTTACCCATCATAATAATAGATTCACTAAAACCATTCAGCATGTGAATGAATAACTTCTATAAAGTCTTAAAAATCCATTAAATTAGTCTAATTAACTACAAAGTGAAGGATATTATTTTTAAAAATAAATTAGCTAATTCATTTTTATAATATCCCCGGGAGAACAGATAAGAAAAGATGACAATATAAATGATGGTGATCAACAACTATAATGTACCTGGCTCTCTTCTAAGTACATTAAAAGAATTATCTCATTAAATCTTTGTGGCAGGATGTTAGTGTACAATTTTACATATGAGGAAACTGAGAGTTAAAGATACTTAACAACTTGAAAATAAACATAACCATTTGCTTTTTAGATGAATAAACATATAAAATGGTCAGTGTTTTTAAATGTGTGAAAATTCCAATGAAATAAGCTCATTCACAATATGTGAAAGAAGATGCTGACTCTAAAAAAAACTTTAAATGCTTTGCTGATTTAGTAGTTTGATTGTAGAAATTTTTATGGTGACCAAGAATTTATGAATAAGGAGTGTCTTAAATTGTAATATGGATATTCATACACTACTTACCAGTGAATTTGCTGACTCTAAAGAATTAATTTAAAACACTTATTATAAGAATCTTCAATACAGACACATTCGTGATAGCAAGGTATGTGGTTTCCTAGGTCTGCCCTAATAATTTATTATAAACTGGTAGCTTTAAACAACATGAATTTATTCTTTCACATTTTTAGAGGTTGGAATTCTGAAAGCAAAGTGTTCAGATTCTAGGGAGAAAGTCCTTTTGTTAATAGATCAGATTGTGGTCCCCAAAATATGTGCTGTAAACTCTAGTCTGTGGTAATAGTCTTGTTTGAGAATACATTGTCTTTGCTATAATACAGGACCAGTGCAGCATGGATTTTGTCTCAGTCTATTTTGAGGGTAAACAAGAGAGAAGCAAGCAGAGTTGATGGAAATTATAAGGTGGCCCACAAACAAACTGAAAGAGCTCTTCCTCCAGAGCTGAGACAGAGGCCTTTTGCAGCAACCTAAACTGTAAGAAAACTGCGAGTTAAACCCACCCATTTTTTAAAAAATATGTATTTCTATTATAATAGCACTAGGTAATTCAGATGCCCGCCTTGCCTCCTTCAGCTCTTGGTGGCTGCTGGCATTCCTTAGCTTAGGGTGGCATCCCTCCTATTTCAGCTGCTGTCCTGCCCTGACCTTCTTCCCTGCTCTGTCTTTGTGTTCTCTTTTATAAGTACAGTGGTCATTGAACTGAAGACTCACTCAAATCCAGGATAATTTCTTCTTCAAATTCTTAACTAATTATGTTTGCAAAAACTTTCTTTCCAAATAAAGTCACATTCTGAGGTGCTAGATGGGTGTGAGTTTTTAAGGGACCCTATTAACTCCACTATACTAGGGAACTGGATGTGATTGAATTGAATATACATACCAAAAATACATGTTTCTTATAGATATTTTTTATAAATATTTGAAAGACTAATTAGAAAAATATAAATAGAACGCTGAGCATTGGGCGGCCATTCTGTATAGGTGTGAGTTAGTATGTGGATTAGAAGGAGGGAAACAATTCATTTAAAGTGAGGACTTACTTAGAATAATAACAATAATGTGCCATATGCCAAGCTGATAAGCTTCTCATTCTGTGCGCTGAAGGCATATGCGCGGGTTATTGTGCACCTTTGAGTTAGAGCCAACCCATAGCTGACTCTCCAATGAGTTTTCAGAGATAGTAAATCTCATGGAAAGAGATTGTCCATCCTTCTCCTGAGGAGCAACTGGTAGATTTTAACCTCATGTCTTTGGGATTTCAGAGCAGTTTCTTGTCACTAGCGCCACCAGAGCTCCCTGAAGGCATAAAAAAACCTGCTTTATAAATTAGACTCAACATTTCTCTGAAGATGTTTGTGCTATTTATTCTTGCAAGCCCTATTTTTTTATCAAAAGAAAGATAAATTTCAATATAATGGCACAAAATTTGCTTTGGTAGTCAAGAAGTAAATCTTCGTACCCTCTCATACTCTTTATTTTGTTCTTGAGATTGCCTCCTATCGGGTACTGCACCACGTGTTTTGTTTTATTTTATGTGTTCGTAGTCTATCTCTCCAATTATACCATAAACTCCACAAAGGCAGAGATTTCTCTGCTGAGTATTGTAGTAGAATATAGAAGTATTCTAGTAGAAATATATTCTAGCAGAAGTGTGCTTTTCATAATATATAAATTAATGAATCTTAATCAGAGAGTCTCCTCCCTGATGGTTTCTAAAGGAAAACTCTTCATTTCTTACTCTTGTTTTCAACACAAAGGCCTTGTGAAGCCCAAGAATTTTGGAACGGAAGACTACATCAATGACCATGAGGTTGACAAATTGTCCCAACATAGATGTTAATCTTGACTACATAGAGGAAACAAAGACATACTGGGTTCTAACAATTGGGGTTTGGAATAAAAAGTGTTAAATAACAACACTTCTTCTATCCAACTGGGCCCAAATCAATGGAAAGAGTCAACCAAACCAACAGTGTCTCTGAGTTCATCCTCCTGGGACTGTCCTCTAGACCTCAGGACCAGAAGCCACTCTTTGTACTCTTTCTCATCATGTACCTCATCACCATAACCGGGAACCTGCTCATCATTCTGGCCATCAGCTCTGACCCCCAGCTCCAGACCCCCATGTATTTTTTCTTGAAGTCCCTGTCTTTTACTGACATTTGTTTTACAACCACTATTGTGCCCAAGATGCTAGTGAATTTTTTGTCTAAGAAGAAAACCATCTCCTATGCTGGGTGCCTGACACAGATGTATTTCTTCTATGCTTTTGGCAACATCGACAGTTTCATCTTGGTAGCCATGGCCATTGATCGCTATGTGGCCATTTGTGACCCCTTCCACTATGTCACCATCATGAGCCAGCACCGCTGTGTCTTGCTACTGGCCTTTTTCTGTTCCATTTCTTACATCCATTCCCTCCTTCACATTCTCCTGCTAAATCGTCTCACCTTCTGTGACTCCAACATCATTCACCATTTTCTCTGTGATATCAATCCTTTGTTAAAATTGTCCTGCACCTCCACGTATGTCAATGAGATTTTGATAAAGACAGAAGGGCTTGTTATTTTGGTAAGTCCCTTTTTATGTATTTCTTTTTCTTACCTACAAATCCTCTTCACGATTATCAAAATTCCCTCAGCTGTAGGGAAGCGCAAAGCATTCTCCACCTGTGGTTCTCACCTCATTGTGGTAACCCTTTTTTATGGAAGCATCTTCTATGTCTATTTACAACCCCAGTCCAGCTACACTGCCAAGAATCGCGTGGCAACTATTGTTTATACTGTTTTATCCTCTATGCTAAATCCTTTTATCTACAGCCTAAGAAACCAAGATCTGAAACGGGGCCTGAAGAAATTGATGGCCAGGAGAAAACCCTAGCCAGTTCTCTCTTTGCAAATTCAGAAGTGGGATCAGCGTCAACCAGCTAGAGATTAGCTTGTTTAATCCACTTGAAGTAAAATTGACATGAGCATTTTATAACCATTTTTTCACAGCCTAGCAAAGCAATTGGGCTCCTTTTTCTTGTCTACCATGTATTTCTTTAAACTAATCCTTTTTCCATAAATATTTCTTGAACAAATTTCTCTGTGTTTATTAAGGCCGATTCTCCACAATTCTTCTCATTTTGACATACTGCTTACAATAGTGACTCAATTCATAGCTGTTTGGATGCCTTTTCAATCAAACATTTGAAGAGAGAAAAGGATGGAAGAAAGGAGAAAAGAGGAGAAGGAAATGAGAGAAAAAGATTGCAAGAGAGAGAAAAATTATATCTTTTCCAGAGCGCTTTATATAACTCTGGCAATGATGGTGTCTCTTTCCCATAATCTGGGGTATGATCATGTCTACCCTTTCCTCTGTATCACCCACTGGTTCTGGGTCTTGTAGCAAGCAACAGCTCAACAGTAAATCCCAATGAGCTAAAGTACTTAGTGATTCAGCTCAACCATTCAGAGCTCTCAGTATCTTTGTTCTGGTTATCTGTTATTGTTCCCCACAAACATACTTTTAATTCTGCAGAACCTCCTTTTAGAAACAATTTTGTTATGGTGATGTCCTTGTTGAAATCATACTCATTCTTTAACACCCAGTTTTTCAAATAAGATGCATGATCTGTGCTTAAATTTGTATCTAGTGTCTTAAAGTCAGGTGGCTATAGAATGAAGAGAAACAATTTCTATCTCAGAATTTTAAGGAGAAATCACTAGACTACAGAGCCACCTAGACACCCAGTGTACTTTTCTGAAAGTGAAGCATGCTAGACACTCATGGCAGGAACTCGAATTTGATCTTGTCTGTTGTTTTTATTTTATTTTATTTTATGCTAAGATTTACTTTAAAAAAAACAACATTCATTTCCTCAAAAAGCTGAAGATAGAAATTACATATGACCCAGCTATTCCAACTGCTTGGAATATACCCTGAGAAAATGAAAACGGAGGTACAAACAGACTTGTACACCAATGTTCAGAGCAGTGTTATTCACCATCTCAAGAGCAGCCCAAATGTCCAACCACAATCTAATGGATTGAGAAACTATGGTACATTACACAATAGAATACTATACAGCACACAGAAGCAATTATTTTGTAAATCCTACCTAACTTGTGAGGGACTGGAAAACATTATGCTAACCGAACTAATTCAGTCCCATAAGGACAAACATGGTATAAGACCATTATTATAGAAAGTGTATAAGGATCCAAGGGGCGGAGGGTGAGAGCAGAAGGGTGAGGATGAGGGGGTTAATCATAGAGTCGCACAATTTGATAGATGGAAGGCAGGGTGGGAAAAGGAAAAGGGAAAGACCTGATGTGAACACAATATATATATGAACTTTGTAAGTAAACCAGTTGTTGTTGTGTGCCGTCAAGTCGCTTGCAACTCATAGCGACCCTATGTACAACAGCCCTAAACCCTGCTCTATCCTGTGCCAATCTTATTATCTCTGACACACCTACCCCTGTTACCCCATTCACTGAATCAATCCATCTCATTGAGGGCCTTCCTCTCCTGTGCTGTCCCTCCACCCTCCCAAGCATGATGTCCCTCTCCAAGGACAGATCCCTCCTTGCAATATGTCCAAAGTATGTCAGACGAAGCTTCACAATTCTTACCTCCAAGGAGTACCCTGGCTTCACCCTGTTCGTTCTCTTAGCAGTCCATGGTATATTCAATACTCTGCTCCAGCACCACAGTGCAAAGTCATCAATTCTCCTATCATGCCTAGTCATTGTCCAGCTCTCTGATGCATAGCAAGTGATTGCAAAGACCATGACCTGTATCATGTGCACCTTAGTCTCTAGACTGACATTGTTGCTCTTCAGTAATTTTGAGAGGTCTCTAACCGCAGACTTTCCCATCACAATACGTCTTTTAATTTCCTGGCTGCTTGTGAATAAATTTATTTTATATTGATTTGCTTACAAAGTTCATATACACTGTGTTTCACACTATCCTTCATTCACATTATTTACTAATGTTTTAGCTATTTTTTCCATAATGAATAATTTAATAGGTTTTTTAGGTTTTTTTAAGAATTTAATAGTTTTACATTTTCTCTTTCTCAAAATATTTATTAGCTATAGCATAATTTTCCTAGTTTCCTTCAGTTTTTTTATTAATAGTTTTATTTAGTTCTTTGAATATGGTTTAAAAGTTTTTCTTGTTTTGTAGTATATGATTTAAAGTTTTTGTTTAGTCAATCCAATGGCTGACTTCCTATAAGGCAGTTTTGTGGTGGATTGGGGGGTTTTTCCATGAATGGACCATATTTAGTTTTTCTTACATGTATCCTAATTTTTGATGGAAATTGGATAATTGAAATATTTCAATGCATTTGTAAAAATTAAATCCTGCCCCCACCCCACCCCCATCATGATTTATTGTTTCTCTGATTATTTGTTCCATGGTTCTCTAGCCATTTTTCAAAGACTCAGTTCTTTGTCTGTTTTGGTCTCTGAATCCTCTATCCTTTAGTTTGTGATCTGTTGTAGTTTGATATAAATTTACTTAAATGGCTTTAAAAAAGGTACAGGTATTCTCTAAGTCTTTGTAGATTGGCTCAATATTAGAACACTTTCAATAATTAGTAAATTCACTTGTAACTCTGCCTTAGTCTTTGCTTGCTTATGGTGAATTTACAATAAAACAGAGGTGAAAGCTTAAAGCATTCTCAAGTCTTTTGTGAGCAAGCATCCTACTCTAAGAAGGTATGTGGCTTTCCTGAGACTTATTTTCAAATTCTTTATTCCTTAAAGTGACGCTCTTGCCAGATTTTCCTCTCAGGTTTGGGTGTGTATGTCTATTCTTGCTGCACTGCAGTCTTTTGCATTGGTGGCAGTGACTATTTCATTTGCCTCTCAATTTTTTCAAGGGACGCCTTCCATTTCATCACTTTCCTCTCTGAGAAACATTAAATTAAGGTGAAACACAAGCATCTTCTTTGCATTAGTCATCTATGGGATACCAAATAGGCCAAATAGACACAATTCTGAGGAAATTCTACTTCACAAAACCTACTCTGCTCCCTCCAGAAATATGTACTCATGTCAGAAACACAGACTAACATCTTCAAGACTTCCACTACACCAGGCAGGTAAGTGGAACAAGGCCAACTTAAAATACCACTTAGTACCTACTACAACTTTTTTCTGTAAGTCATCTTTTCCTTTATTAGCTATTTTTGTGGTTGCTAAAAACCATTCATTATCTTCCAGGTTCAAAAGTTGATTCTAACGGTTTTTGCTCAGTTGGGTTGTGTTTTTTTTTATTTTTTTATTTCACATGTTTAAGAATATGAAATTAAGGGAGCTCTGGTGGCCTACTGGCAAGAAGCTGCACTGCAATCCCAGAGGTATGTGGTTCGAATCCACCAGATGCTCTGCTGGAGGAGGAGGGGCAATCTCCTCCTGTACCAGTCAGATCCTATTTGATGGTACACACGCAAAATAATAAAATAAAATAATTTTTAAAAAGAATATGAAATTAGTGAATGATGTGTTAATATATATTTACCACAACAATATTTATTTTTTTAAAAAACTAAGCAAACTTTTTTAAAAGTTAAACATAGAATTCTCATATGGACCCAAACATCTCTATGTGTTTGTCCAAGAGACCTGAAATTAGAGGTTAAAACATATATGTCATTGTCAATTGTAGCATTATTCATTATAGATCAAAGGTGGAAACAACTTAAGTATTTATCTATAGATCAATGGTTAATCAACATTTAGTATATTCATATAATGGAATATTATTCAGTCATAAATAAAATGAAACTCTGATAGATGTTCTGAACCTTGGGAATATTATGCTGAATGAATTCATCAAGCACAAAAATATTGCATTATCTTACTTATGAAATATTGAAATCAGCCAAAATCATAGACATGTAAACTCATTAATGTCTATCAAGTAGTGGAGAGAGAAGAGATTAGGAGCTATTGCTGTTGTGGTTTATGAACGGAGTTTATGTTTAAGGTGACATAGAATGGATAGTGTTAACGACAGAACAACACTATGAGTCTAGTAATGTCATTGAATTTTACACTTACAAATAGTTAAAATGACAAATTTTCACATATATGTTTTAACTCAATAATTTTTAAACATAAGCCTGCAAAAACTTTGTGTGAAATTATTCACAGCCATTTTATTCCAAAGAGGACAAAATAGAAATACCTTAATGTCCACCAACCAGAAAACAAATTTTAAAACTTCACAATAAAAGTTGTATGCTTAAGATTAAAAGAATTTTACTGTTTATAAATTCTACACCAATTTATCAAAAAGTTGAATAACCAGGAGACAATGAGCAAAGGGTGATGGATGTCTAGACATTGGTGTACAAAACAGATTAATAAAGAATGTGATACTTCACAGATGACTGTATACTTCTTATGAATATTAGAGTTAATAAAAGGAAGATGTCTTTGGGAAACTGGGGGAAACAGATAAAAATGGGAGATCAAAGGATAATACTATCACATCATAAGAATGATCTCAATCTAACAAAGTTTTTCTTTTATTTGACAAATTCCACTGTATGAAGTACTGAATTATATCTCCATGCCCTAACAGAGGAAAATACTTCTCAAAACCCTATTTAAATTCCTCTCAATCCTATAGTTTTCTATATTATAAATTTACTTAATATTATTTATATGTATTTATATTTATTATATATTATAATATAAATTATAAATATTATTATATTTACTTAACTATAGGATTCCTACAGTTCTAAAGGAATAATGGACTGGGTAGAACCTTCACCTTGTGGCTAAACTAGGGTTTTGCATAGATGATACCTCACTCTTTCATGCCAAATTATAACAATTATCTGAGAACTTAACTAATGTGATTGGGGAAAG